TAGTGCTCTACCACTTGAGCCACAGCGCCACTTCCGGCTTTTTTCTTTTTGCTTATGTGGTGCTGAGGAATCGAACCCAGGGCCTCAGGCATGCAAGGCACGCACTCTACCACTGAGCCACCTTCCCAGCCCCGACTGTGAGAGTCTTATCTCCAATTATCACCAAAAAGCCAGAAGTGGAGCTGTGACTCAAGTGGTAGAGTGCTAGCCTTGAGTTCAGGGACAGCTCCCAGGCCCTGAGTTAAAATACACACACACACACACACACACACAAATGTAAAAATGTAACACTAGAGGCACCTAAATGTTGTGATTAGGTAAAGGGGAATGGAGTCTGGCTCTCTCTGGGAAATACAAAAAGATGCTCATGTCAGACAGAAAATGAAACTTGCCTTTTCCATTAAAGTGAAAATCCTCAAAATGTAATATATAAATCAAAATATTTAAGATTTTGTTAGTTGGTAAACAAGTACCAACTGTATTTTTCTTGGAAGCCTCACAAAGCAAAACAGAAAAATAAACTTGCATTTTTACTAAAGTAAGGAACAAGGAAAAGCTACAAAATCCTACACACAGGTGAGCGTGTTCGGATCGCTGAGCTCTGTGAGCCCTGTGTCTGGACACAGCAGGGTTAGGAAAGCCCAGCCCAGTCAGGTAGAAGCAAGGACCCCTGGTCAGTAAGGGCACTGGAAATAAAACAGTGACTGAGTGACGGTACTCAGAACCATTTAAACGTGGGCTTGGTTCCCAGCACTGCAAAACAAGTGAAAACAAACTTGTTAGCTAACAACCTTAATTTCTGACTAAATAGAAATAGCTTATGGGCCAGGAAGGGCTATAATCTACTAATGAAAAAGAAAGCACGTACATAACTTAAAACTTTAAAGTCCCTTAAGCCACAAAGACAGAAGTACAAGAAAGCAGATTTATCGATGAGATAGAGCCCAATAATCCTCCCTCAGAAACTGATGCATCAATAAAAATAGGCCAATACCAAAGCTCTGACAAAAAGGCTCTCTATCTAAATCAAGCATAGAACACACACTGCTTCTGGCAGTATCTGAAGTTTCTGTAATAGACACCCATTCCTTATGTGATACACAAAACTCTAGCAAATATAAAGGACAAACTAAAGAGCATATTCTATTACCAAAATTAATAACAAAAATGTTAAAATTCAACCAATATTGATAATAAAAATCACATTAAAATCTCATACATTTAGGAACACAGTAAACGCCTGGGTTATACTTCCTGTTACGGAAGGGAAAATGGAAACCCTCATGCACACACCTGTAATTACAGAGCTCAGCAGGCCGAGGCCAGGGGACTTCTGGTCTGGGCCAGCCTGGCTGCACAGTGAGATATTGCCTCAAAATGTATACTCACCATCCCCAAGACAACCAAGGACGTTCCCCCACAGCAGCACACAGAAAACTCTTTAATAGGCCACAGAGTTGGCCACAAAACAGCCTCAATATTTTAACAACGGAAATCATGTCAGTATCGTATCTGATCACAATGGTAGAAGACTAGAAGTTGATAAGAATTCTGTTACTAAACAAATACACAAAATTAAACAAGATAGTCCAGAAGAATCAATGTGTTAATGAAGAAACTGAAATCGTAAAATTTCTTGAGACAGATAACCATAGCAACATAGCAAAACCTACAAGATAACAGAAAAAGCAATTCTCAGAAGGAAGTTTGTAGGAATAAGCACCTATATCATAAAAGCACAAAGATCTCATTTAAATAACCTGTTATACATTGAAAAGAAAAACAAGAACAAACCAAACCTCAAATTAGTAGAAACAATAAAGACTAGTACAGAAATAAACCAAAGTATTTTTATTCCTACTTGTTCTATGTAAATAGAGCATTCAAGAATGACTAGAATTTTTAGGCCACCTCTGGTGTTTAACCTAATTTGTATTCCCCAGCCAAGTAACTTGATTGTTTTCAAAGGTCTTATTACCTCCAAGCTAGGGTGGCTTTCTTTCGAAACTTGCACTTCAGGAAAAATATCTGCTATAATCTTTTCGAAAAGTGGGACGTCTTCAGGAGGAAACTTTGATAGACTGGCTTCTCTGATGGCTTTGATCATGACCACGGTTTCCTCAGCTTCACAAAGACTGCTGCAACCATCCCTTCAATGGTGGAAGAAGAACAAGTCAAAAAGCCAGCTGTGTGGCATTAAAGTCCCTTCTACGGGGCTCTCTGTGAATGCCTTTCCACCCTCCCTTGCCTGCACAGCCAGGCTGAATGGCGGGATTACTCCGGTCTCCTGCTCCAGGTCTCACTGGTGTAGAACTAATACGGGAATGCCATTCCTTAATCAGCAATCTGGGGATGAGCACAGTATCACTGAGATTTTAGTATCAAATAACAAATGAACATAGGCTAATATAAAACAAAAAATTCCCCTGATTTATTAAGAGTGTCTAGGAGGATGAAAATGGAGCAATGGCCGAAATCATGTTCCATAACTGGTCTGTGGAGACCAGAGTGACAGGACTGTCACCACCGGAGGGCTGGGCAAGCCGGCGGGACACACGCATTGCTGGACTCCCTGCTACTTCTGCCGACTGTTACAGAGAGGGCCGGCTGTCACCACACCACAATAGGCCGTGTATCCGATTTCTATTTTCACTAGCTTCAGGTACCTGTCATGGCTTACAAAGATTGTTCATCAAAGCCATAGTTACAAAGGAGAAGCAAATGTGTGGTATTACAAATATCCACTCAAGAAATGTAGATTCAGCTCTAGCCCCAGTGTGTCGCAGTTCTTTACATAATGACTCAAGAGTCGAAACAAAGAACTTACCTGTTCAGCGTGAAGCTCAGGACTTCAGTTCAATCACATGGATAGACTGAAAGTCATCTTGCTACAACAGACACTAGCCTAATATAAGCCAGAACTCAAAAGACTGCAGTGTTGGGAAGACTATCTCAAGGAAATGAAGCTGAAACTCTATTCTGCCCTACTTTCAGACTTCCTAATTTGGCCAGAAAGCAAATTCTTTCTACTATTTAAGCCCACTTGAGTGGGTTTCTTTGTTTTGTTTTTTGTTTTACTGGTCCTGGGCTTCAACTCAGGGCCTGGGCACAGTCTCTGAGCCTCTCTGTGCTCAGGGGTAACGCTCTACCACTTGAGCCACAGTGCCACTTCCAGGAGTTAACATGCAAATCTTTTCTACTAAGGGGTCTTAGGACTGCACATTGTTGAACAATTAACTTGTTTTCTAAATGAAAGAACTTTGGAAAATTCTTTTAGGGGGAGACTCTTCTAAGGGAACCAAGGAAAAAGGTGCATGCTAAGCACAAACAAATTCGCTCTCCCTGTGTCCACTCACATCCTCAGCTCCAGAACCTGTAAACAGTGATCGCCCAGCAAGGCAAAACACCAGTATTGTCTCATAAGGGACAATGTGACTCAGAATCAGATGTTTATCTAGATCCAGGGCTAGAGGTAATTGCTGCTGTGGGCAGTAAGCTGCAAGCATCTTTCCTTCAGAAAATATATATGGCGAGCATTTATAAATCTTCTGGCTTTTGAGTCTTAGTTCAAAAGCCTCTGTACTTGGTTTTTCCCCCTGATATTTTTTTGTTTAAATTATTTTACTGATTCTGGCAGATGACTGGAATGATTCCACCTAAGTCTTCCGCCCGTCTGCTTCGCCTTCCTAGAATTGCTCACTACAGAATCATTACTGCCCTGGTTGGGAGTGCCCAAAGGAGAAAATCCTACTGCAGACTTTCTATTCTGTTCAGCTGCTTGCCTTTCTACTCAGCCAGTATCACCAGTTTCAATGATTAAAGCTTTATAGCACGACTTGGTATTTTGTGGGTTATTTTTCTTTCATTGCTCGTTTTTCTACCCGGTTTTATTTATTTTTCTGTATAAGTTTCAGGATCAGCTTGTCTAAAAACACACACACACACAAACAAACCCACCTTTTGGTATTTTTAATGAGAATATTCTTATCCAAAAATTAATATTAAATAATTTAACTCTTCATGATGTTAAGCTGTCTGTTTTTTGGTCCATACTGGTGCTTGAACTCAAGGCTCATGTATTTGCAAGGAAGGCTCTCTACTACTTGAGCCACGTCTCCAGCCTCATGCTATGTTCTCTAGAATGCTATATAGCTATGAATGGTGGTGTGCGCCTGCAATCCCTGCTCTCGGGAAGCTGAGGTGGAGAACTGTGAGTCCCAGGGTAGCTGGGATCTCAAAACAACGAAAGCAAACACAAAACATTACAAAGGCAGGGTATTGTTTTAGTTACCCATGTTTCCCTGCCTAGGTTCTGCACATGTCTTACGCAGATCCCTCTACCCCTTACTGTCTGTGCAGGGTTGGTTCTATGACCCCACCTGCATCCAGGTCTGAGAAAGTCCCAGTCTGCATGTACATGCACGGTGCTTGCATAGAACCTACACACACCTTTCCATATGCTCTTTTTGTGGTTGTTATTTGTGCAGGTACCAGGGTTTGAACTCATGGCCTTGTGTGCTCACGTGGCTTTCTTGTTCAAGGCAGATGTCCTCCTACCTGAGCCAGGCCTCCATCTAATTGGAGATGAAATCTTACAGACTTTCCTGCTTAGGCTGGCTTGGAACTGCAACCTTCCAGTTCTCAGCCTGCTGAGAGTAGCCAGGATTACAGACATGAGCCATTGATACCTATCTTCTTTCCATATACGTTAGATCATCTCTAGATTACTTAAAATACCTAATGCAACATAAATGCTCTGTAGATAGTTGTTAAATTGTATTGTGTAAGTGTTAATGACAGAGAAGTCTATGCATGCTCTGTATAGATGTATTTTTGCAAATATTTTCAGTCTACAGTTGGTTGAATCCCCACTTGAAGAACCTCTGGGCAGGGTATACATTTTATGTTCGTGTAAGTTTTATAATTTACTTCTCTTCTAAATAAGGTCTTTTATTCCACTATGTTTCTCATTGTGTAAAGGTAAAGCTTATTTTTTCCTTATAAAGTGATTTTATGCATTTTTCTTTTGACTTTTAAAATTTGCATGTGTGCTAGGAGCTGAACTTAGGGCCTCACACAGGCTGAGACAAGCCATGCCCAGCGCCCTTCGGCGGGCTTTTGGCTTGTCTCACTAACTTTGCTCAGGCCGGCCTCTGAAGAAGCTGTGAGCACAGGTCTATAAGCACACCAGCTTATTTGATGAAACCTTCAAGAATCTTTTTTTTTTTTTTTTTTTTTTTTTTTTTTTTACTGTGACACTGATTAACCTCTCATTTTAACTTGCCTTCATTATATACAATTCTACAAATTATTGTTCTGACTTCCTTGGACCTAATACTAAATTTAAATTTGAACTGACCGTTTAAATTCCTGCTTCTTCTTTTCTGCCATTATTAAAACTGTCTTCAAAGATCTCATGCCAAAATCATAATGATCCTATAAAACAAAAGTTTAAAAAAAATCTGTGTTTTTATAGGTTGTGTAGGAAAAGTAAAACCACCTGAAAGTAATTGCACAAGACTATGAATTGCTGGCTATCTATTCTGTGAAGGGAAAGAGCCATGTGATCCCAGGACGCTTGTTTTCCACCCCCGCTGCTGCCAATGTCCCACCCGCCCACACTGCAGTTCCTCAGAGCCTCTCTCCATCCATGTCTTTCCAGCTCGCTCTTAGGATATTAAAAAAATTAGCTTACATTATTCGTAGAAGCAAGAGTTTCATTGATCATGGTGTATATCTATCTTTTTAATATTTTATTGAATTCAGTTTTCAAGAGCTTCATTGAGGACTTTTGTAGGTACATTCATTAAAGAGACTGATGTGTAATTCCTTTTTTTAAATCTTGTCTCTGGTTTTGATTTTGACAGCATTCTCTCCCTTATTATACAGGGAAGAGTTTGAGGAGTATTTGTGTTAGTTCTTCTGTAAAGGTCTGATAGAATCTGACATTGGATCCATTTGGTTCGGGGCTTTCTCTTTGTTAGGAGATTATTGTTTCAATATTGTTATAGATCTTGTTAAAGTGCTTGTTATAGATCTGTTAAAGTGGTGTATGTCTTTTTGGTTCAATTTTAATAGGTTACATATTTCTAGGAATGCATCCATTTCTTTTACCTTTTCCAGTTTTTGTGAGTAAAGGTCTTCAAATTATTCTCTCATTATCCTATTTTTCGTGGCCTTATTTTCATCTCTAATTTTACTCATTTGGGTTAGTTAGATTGGCTAAAGTATTAACAATTTCATTTTTGAGACAAAATTTTGGTATCTTACCTGGGCTGACTTCAAACTCCAGGCTCAAACAATTCTCTTGAGCTTCTGGGAATACAGAGGCCCACCACTGTACCCCCCGCAAAATCTCTTTCTTATGTGCACCAGTCCTGGGGCTTGAAGTCAGGACTGGGTGCTGTACCTGAGGTTTTTGCTCAAAGCTAACACTCTACCATTGGAGCTACCGCTCCACTTCCAGCATTTTGGTGATGAATTGTAGATAAGAGTTTCATAAGCTTTCTTATGAAAGCTTGTAAGAGGCTGGCTTTGAATCATGACCCTCAGATCTCAGCCTCCTGAATAGCTAGAATTACAGGTGTGAGTCTGCCCAAATGCCTCATTCTCAAAAGGAAAGGTAAGAAGAGTATTAACAACTATCAGCATCTGAATTATCTGTGAACTGGAAAGAGAAAGTTGGAGAATATTTTGAAAGTATGTATCTTTGGAGAAAGTAGATTCTCCATCCAAATCATTTTGGATTAGACATAATTTTTTGATTTGCAGAATGGTGATTCTCAAAGTGTGGGATTCAAATCAGTATCATTAGAAACAGCCAAGGGGTTCTTGAAACTGCACAGTTCCACATCAGACACAGAATTACAAACCTGGACTTGTGTTCTGACAAGTCCCCCAATTATTCTGACATACAATAAAGCTGGAGAATATTGTTCTAGATGTGAAGTTACTTAAAGCTGCAGATGCATCATCACTCTCTAGGTTCTCAAACGAAAGGCCTACATGTTGACGTTTTCAGATCTTGCGTTTGTCCTGCGCTGACTTCCTTTTCTCAGCTAGCTGACATTATGATGCGAACAACCACATCCAGATTGTTTGTTTTTTCCTTCAAACTGTATGTTTTATTAAAATGAAGTATATCATGGGCTGGGAAGGTGGCTCAGTGGTAGAGTGCTTGCCTTGCATGCATGAAGCCCTGGGTTTGATTCCTCAGTACCACATAGCAGAAAAAGCCAGAAGTGACACTGTGGCTCAAGTGGTAGAACACTAGCCTTGAGCAAAAAAAGCTCAGGGACAGCGCCCAGGCCCTGAGTTTAAGACCCAGGACTGACAAAAATTAAAAAAATTGAAATTAAAACGAAGTCTATCTAAAAACACACAACTATAGGCTCATCATATTTTCAAATAAAGTTAGGTTTTATCAATGACTACAGTGTCTGCTTGTTTTCTGAGATAAGGTTTTGTTAACTTTTGCCCATGCTGGCATCAAGCCTCAATTCTCCCCTGTCTGGCCTCTGCTTAGCTGGGTTCACAGGAATGTGACACTATGTTCAAACAGCACCTTCAAATGGTTTGAGAAAGCCAGTTCCTTACCTGCTGTGAAAGCTGCTTGCTAGCTAATTCATAAAGATGAACTACCTTCCCAGAGAGTACTTTTGCAGACTTGAAGCCAAATGAAAACAGTATTACTTCAGTAATCATTTGGAAGTTAGGTATCATCATTATTATAGGGCGGAACAGTGATTTTAGGTTGTCTGGGAGCTCCACTCGACCGCCATACCTTAAGAGCAAAGAAAATGTAACAAGGATAACAACATATAAACCCCTACTCTGAAATTTTTCAAATGAAGAACCACATACGGTACTTTCCTCCCAAATAATTCTATTGGCTCTCTGTATGATCTTTATCTTAAAGTGAGTTCACAGAGTGGTTCACAGTGTATCTTTCATCTCATGGAGCACCCTGGAAAACCATACTTCTTCCCATGCTCTATCCCACAATTAATCACACCTCAGCTCCCAAGTTCCCTGGACTAATATGGCGGCGTTCCATCAGCATTCAATAAGTTGACAAGTGAAGTGGCCTAATCGCACGGTGCCCCTGCCTGTCATCAGCTTTTCTGCCTGTGTCACCATGGTGATGAACACCTGACCTCTTCCTTTCTTACTCGAGATGAAGAAATGGAAATGTCCCCTGGCCAGAGACCACCATATGAACAAGTGACAAGCTGTTATGAAGTGCCGGTTCACAATGGGTGTGGGTACTGGGGGAGGTCTGAGGGGTCTGGAGGGTTTGGAAGTCAGGTACGTGATGTCAGGTAATTCCGTCTATGATTAAAGTTTAAGAAAAGTGAGCTTGTTCAACCACTCTGGAAAGCAGTGTGGGGGGTTCCTCAAAAAACTACACATAGAGCTCCCCTATGACCCAGCAATCCCACTTCTGGGAATCTACCCAACTGTCCACAGACAAGGCCACACTAAACCCACCAGTATAACGGTTTCATCGCAGCATTATTTACCAGAGCTGAGATATGGAACCAGGGGCTGGGAAGGTGGCTCAGTGGTAGAGCGCTTGCCTTGCATGCCTGAGGCCCTGGGTTCGATTCCCCAGCACCACATAAGCAAAAAGAAAAAAGCCGGAAGTGGTACTGCGGCTCAAGTGGTAGAGCGTTAGCCTTGAGCTGAAGAGCTGAGGGACAGCGCCCAGGCCCAGAGTTCAGGCCTCACGACTGGAACCCCCCAGATGCCCCTTGGTAGATGAATGGATCAAGAAAATGTGGTACATATACACAACGGAATTCTATGCTTCCATTGTTCTGTTCATAAGAAAATGGAAAGGCTTGGAAAACATTATATTAAGTGAAGTAAGCCAGACCCAAAGAAAAGCAGGTCACATGATCTCCCTCCTCATCTGTAAGAACTAGAATATGCAGAAGATACTCTGAACATGGTATCTCCAGATCCCAAATGCTTAGTGCACGTTAGAAGCATATTAACACGAACACCAACTCTCACAAAAAAAAAAAAGAGGCTCTCATTAGCCCCTCTACACAGTTCATTCTTTTGCTCTATTGTTTTTCACCCCATGGTTTCCCTCATTTGCAACAATTAGTATACAGCTAGGATAATTTTATCAGATGAGCAGAAAAGCTCAAAAACTATGTACATATGACCATACAAGATGATGCTAAGCGAAACAAACCCCAAAATATGGACACCAGCAGTTCTTCTTAGTTGTTGTACTTAATGCCCTAGGAGACCGTTTTGTCTCTCTTGTATGTTCTCTCCCTATGGTATATCTCCTGTTGCCACTGGACTTGATAGTGGTGCCCTGCATCTTTGGGGAGGGAAGGGGAAGAGTAAGATACTGTAACAAGGATACAGGATGACCACTGCAACAATGATACCCCAAGACAGTAGACTGGAAACCAACTTCACAACTTTGGGGGGAGGAGGGAGTGAGGAGGTGCGGGAGGGATAGTGGGAGAACAACAAAGGAGGGAGTAACAATGCTCAACAAGAAACGCACCCATTATCTTACTCACGTACTGTAACCCCAAGAAATACACACATTACCGTACTCACGTAACTGTAACCCCTCCGTACAGCACCTTTATAACAAAATAAAAGTTAAAAAGCCCAGAACAGAAGATTTTCTAGAAGGAAAAACTACTCCAACGATACTCCAATTGTGGCTATGTATCATAATGTATCTATTCAAATGCATGAAAGGTACGTCACCGGCAGTGACTCTGAGGTGTGTCATGGACTCTGCACAGTGGTGGGATAGTGGCAGGCTGTGGGTTGTGACAGGTCTGCACAGTGGTGGGATAGTGGCAGGCTGTGGGTTGTGACAGGTCTGCACAGTGGTGGGATAGTGGCAGGCTGTGGGTTGTGACAGGTCTGCACAGTGGTGGGATAGTGGCAGGCTGTGGGTTGTGACAGGTCTGCACAGTGGTAGGATAGTGGCAGGCTGTGGGTTGTGACAGGTTTGCACAGTGGTGGGATAGTGGCAGGCTGTGGGTTGTGACAGGTCTGCACAGTGGTGGATAGTGGCAGGCTGTGGGTTGTGACAGGTCTGCACAGTGGTGGGATAGTGGCAGGCTGTGGGTTGTGACAGGTCTGCACAGTGGTGGGATAGTGGCAGGCTGTGGGTTGTGACAGGTCTGCACAGTGGCAGGATAGTGGCAGGCTGTGGGTTGTGACAGGTCTGCACAGTGGCGGGATAGTGGCAGGCTGTGGGTTGTGACAGGTCTGCACAGTGGTGGGATAGTGGCAGGCTGTGGGTTGTGACAGGTCTGCACAGTGGTGGGATAGTGGCAGGCTGTGGGTTGTGACAGGTTTGCCCCTGTGGTGGAAGACACCAGTAGTGAAGGAGGCTGGGAGAGTGTGAGTGCTCAGTTTTGTTATGAAACTGAAGTTGATCCCCAAAGTAAATAAAAATGATAAAAACCAAAACAAGGAAAGAACCGCCTTTCAGTCAGTGTCTGCCCCTTCCGCATGCACTGGTACTCACCTAGGGTTCATGGTGATAAACACTGCACAGGACATGTTCATGCGTATTTCTCTTCCATCCAGCACAAACCTACAAGACATTACAGTATTCACCACTAAAATGAATTGCTTATTAGGCCAAAGTCTGTGATCTGTAGCAGATTTAATTCAAACAGTACACACTAGAAAAAACAGTGGTGAGATAAAACAAAGGGCCCATGCTGAGCAACGAGGTGACCTCTGCTGGCACGCACATGTGTGTGGTCCCCTCGAAAGACGTTGAAAGGGTCTGGAAGACCCTTCTTAACACTAGAAGGTTCCATCTAGACAGATGACACAGGCAAGAATGAGGGAACATGTTGGGGAGGACCCTTCTTAACACTAGAAGGTTCCATCTAGACAGATGACACAGGCAAGAATGAGGGAACATGTTGGGGAGAACAGACACAAGAAGGGAAGCAGCTCCCGGCTCCATCTTCAGATAAATACAGCATGGCTACCACATCGCCCTTTCCCTAGGTACAAAACCTCAGACAACCGTGGAATAAACGCCTGGCTGGATGCTGGCACCATGACTGGCTTCTTAGATGACGGCTACCAAAGATGACGGTGAAAACACGAGAAGAAGGACAGCCAGGGCAGAACCTGGGAATCCTGGCAAGCACGAGGAAGTTTTGCAGCGGCTGAGGCACACACCTGAATGGTGTGATCTGGTCGCTGCAGGGCCAGCTTTATCTACAGGCGTGCACAGCCTACTAACAGAGGCTTTAAAGAGTAAAATGACAAGCTACCTATTTCCATGAATTAGAAATGTTTCATAAAAACTGAAACCCACAAATCCATAAAGTAAATCATGTGAATTACTGTTTATCTCAGAGAGTAACATTTTGTTTGTATTACTCAATTTACATATATTGTTACTGCAGGTTTTTTTTTCAATGAAAGCATCTTAATTTAGAGCGACAAGAAGGGTTTCAGGGGATATTTGCTAGCTATACATCCGATGAGAGTCTAATAACCTGAATATACAAAGAGCTAAAAAAATCCTAAAGCCTCAGAGAACCAATAAGTAAGTGGGCAAAGAAGCTAAACAGACCTTCCCAGTAGCAGAAGAACAAAATGGTCAACAAACCCATACAGAATGTTCATCATCCCTGGCCATAAGAGAAGTGCAAATGAAAACCACACTGAGATTCATCTCACTCCAGTTAAGAGCAGCCATTATCAAGAATACAGACAGCAACAAGTGCTGGTGACTATGAAAGAAAAAGGCAGCCCAATGCACTGTTGGTGGGGTGTGCGCCAGAGCAACCATTGTGGACACCCGGATAGAGAGTCCCCAATGCACTGTTGGTGGGGTATGGATAGAGTCCTCAAAAAACCAAACGCAGAGCGGTCCTAAGATCCAGCAGTACCACTCTTGGGCATTCCATGTCTGAAAAACTGCATTCCACGATGCAAGAAAGGCACCTACCTGCACACACCCACGCTCATCACAGCACGGCTCACACAGACACGGTACAGAATAGCCCAGGTGCTCCACAGTGGATGACAGGATTTTAAAAAAGTGACACATATACAACATGGAATTTTACACAGCTATTAGAAAAAATGAAATTACGTTATTTTCAGGGAAACAGATGGACCTGGATAGTATACTGAGCAAATAAGCCAGGCCTAGAGAGATAAATGACATACGCCTTCTCTCCTATGTGGGTCTTAGAGCCAGAACACAAACTCCCCACATGATCACACATAAGAGGTATGTTTTCATATGCTTTTCACTGGCCAAAAAAAAAGAGAGTAGCCGACATATATTTGCATCCTTGATCTGGCAGGCAGCTCCAGAGAGTGTGTTAAAACCTAGCTGGGTGTCAGACACCTTTAAGTTCATGGGAAAGCAGCACCAACCAGCGGAGTCGGTAACCGTGGGCATGAGGCTCCAGGCGTGCCCAGGATGCAGAGTCCAGCTCTGCGCTGCAGATGTTGGAGTGCAAGCCTGCTTTCAGCGTGGCCTGCCCAGTCCCCACCACAAACATGCTGCGTGCTAACACATCCCCAAGGTCACTTCAATGAAGCACACTCTCTTTCACCTTGCTGTTTGGAAAACAGATTTTCACAAAACTCAGAGCAGAGAAACACAGAGAAGATCACATGGTTTAAACACAATTGATGATTATGCAGGACAAGCTTCTCCACATTAAGTGACTTGTGCAAAAATTTAGTTTTGACTTTTGAATAAATTTTTTTTTCTGTGCACCAGTACTGGGACTTGAACTCAGGGCCTCATACTCTTGCTTAGCTTTTTTGCTTAAGGATGATATTCTACCACTTGAGCCATACATCCATTTTTAGCTTTTTGCTGCTTAATTGAAGACAAGAGTTTCTTTGATTTGGCTGCCTAACCTGGCTTTGAACTTGATCCTCAGATCTCAGCCTCCCGAATAACCAGGATTACAGGCATGAGCCACTGGTACTGGCTAATTTTTTGAATTAGGATTTATTGTTTTTCTGACCATACTTGGTCAGAGTCATATGTAATAAATCCATGAATAAGGCAAAGTTCCTGTAACTTTTCATATCATTTACCAAGAAATACTCAAACATTCCATTTGATACATGCTTTAAAAATGAATAAGCAAGCCAGGCACCAGTGGCTCACAACTGTAATCCTAGCTACTCAGGAGGCTGAGATCTGAGGATCGCGGTTCATAGCTAGCCAGGGAAGAAAACTCTGTGAGACTTTTATCTCCAATAAACCACTAGAAAACCGGAAGTGGCGCCTGTGGCTCAAGCGGTAGAGCGCTCGCCTTGAGCTGAAGAGCACAGGGACAGTGCCCAGGCCCAAAGTTCAAGCCCCACGACCGACAAATAAAATAAAAAATAAAATAAAAAAACAAAAATAGTCTTGCCCATGTAATTGTAACCCCTCTGTATGGTATTTTTACAATAAAAATAATAAATAAAAATGAATAAACATAAAGCCCCAAAGACCCAAACACTTACAGAAGAAAAACAACATTAATTAAACAACAATACCTGATGGAATAGTTGTCTTTTGCTGCCTTGATTTCCAGGATCTGAGAGGCAATGACGGAGAGGACTTCCACATCAATTAGGTTGAATTCATCAAAGCAGCACCAGGCTCCTGACTGAACCAAGCCAAAGAAGAATTTTCCCAGTACCTGAAAACAAACAAACAAGCAAATAAACAACACACAACCAAAAAGTTGAGTCTCAGTCAGTCATCATCGCCGCAGCCATTGCAGCCACTGCCGCCTTGCTCCGGCCACCGCACTCCATCCGGGCAGCTGCGCGGGCAAGCATCCCCGAGCTAACCCTCCAGGTATACGGTGGGCACCATGGCTGAGAAGTCTGACTGCCACTATTGCAGAGACCCCTTGCAGGGACAGACGTATGTGGAGAAGGACGGCCGTCACTGCTGGTGGGCACCATGGCTGGGAAGTCTGACTGCCACTATTGCAGAGACCCCTTGCAGGGACAGACGTATGTGGAGAAGGGTGGCCATCACTGCTGCCCGAAGTGCTTTGGCAAGTTCTGTGCCTGCGCCTGTGTGGAATGCCGCAAGCCCATCGGCCAGACTCCAAGGAAGTGCACTACAAGATCTGCTTCTGGCATGACTCGTGCTTCCGCTGTGCCAAGTGCTTTCGCCCCTTGGCCAGTGAGACCTTTGTGGCCAAGGACAGCAATAATCTGTGCAACAACTGTGCCACTCGTGGGAAGACAACCCTCGGTGCAAAGGGTGCTTCAAGCCCTTGTGGCAGGAGACCAGAACGTGGAGCACAAGGGCCTCATGTGGCACAAAGACTGCTTCACGTGCAGCAGCTGCAAGCAAGGCATGGGACGGGAAGCTTCTTCCCGAGAGGGGAGGACTTCTACTGTGTGACCTGCCATGAGACCAAGTTGGCCAAGCACTGCGTGAAGTGCCACAAGGCCATCACATGTGGAGGAATCACTTACCAGGATCAGCCCTGGCATGCCGATTGCTGTGTGGGTGGTACCTGCTCGGCCCCACACCATTGATAGGGAGGAGTGGTTTTGCACCTCTTTAAACTTCTCCCTTCTGTCCTTTCTATTGTTTTGCAGTATTGCTCAAATAAGGACAAACAGTGATTGTATTAGGATTTAGCAACAAGCATCCTTGCAGCAAAGTTAATTTCTCTACCGCTGCAATGAGCAAACAAAAACTTAGAACTGACTTTTCTGCATGTTTATCATAGAGCAGGAAAGTGTCAACCATTTAGCCACTTTGTGATGTAAGCAAGAAACATAAGCGATAAAGCTCCTCCTGAGCTGCCTTTCCAGGCTCAGCGGGGACCCGCCATGTAGTCGGTCATATGGCGTGCAAGAGCCGCAGCGGCTACTGCAGCTCACAGCTCACGCTCTTTGGTGAGCAGAAAAAGAACTTGCTGGAATACATGGTTTAACTTCCTCCTCAAAACTCTGACCCTCCTGCTATTCTTTTGTGATCTCACCTAACATTGAATTTCCGGAAATTTAACATTTGAACTTAGCTGTTAAGTTTCCTCCCTACAAACGTCCAATACCCCCCACCCCCACAGTGGCATGTTTTCTGAGCGTTCCCACTTTAAAGTACAGAATATATAGGTGACTGGGAAGGTGTATTTGCCTACCTGAGAAAACGAACCTGTTTCAGAGCCACATTGTCACAGTGGAAGCTTGACAAAACTCACCCTTCCGACCTTTTTATTTCTTTTCAATGGCATTTTGTTTGAATAGTAAAAATAGTTTATGGGTTTGGAAACTTGCATGACATGGAGCCCCTTCAGATGTCACTGCAGTTTGGAGATTCATCCTATAGAAGTGAGTGACTGTAAAACTCTTGAGGGGTAGTTTAAGCAGGCACCAGACTGCGTCAATGTGAACATCACATTTCAAAACCATGACAAGTGAAATCCCTTTGTAAAATAAAAGTTGTCGGCTCTTTGTCCATGTGTTCAAGAGGACTACGAAGTCCCTTCTCTTGTGATTCCTAGGAGGTTTCCTAGAGAGCTTAGCTCTCTCTGGGGAAGTGGGGCAGCCGCTTGCCTCACAGTTTGCTTCCCTGAAATTGTGGGATCACCTACTTATTGTATTCTCCATGATTACATTACATATATAATGAGAAAATAATCAAAAGTAAACATGTAATGACAATACATATTGGAATTCTTGTAGAAGTGGTTGTAGAGACAGATGCTTCATTTCTGCATTCTGTCATTAGATGTTATCATCTAATGTTTCAGTGTATCCTTACAGAAATAAAGCAGCTTAGAAAGAAAAAAAATGCTCATCATGGAAATTATTCTAAAGTAAGCTGACACTTTCTGACTGGGGTTAAAGCTGTGTGCACTCTTCCCATTGTGTGCCCAGCCAGAGCCTCCTGCCCATGCTCCGCAGGCGTGCCTGTGGCCGCCCGGACCCAAGGACCACTAGTCTGCCTGCCTCAGTGAAAGCTGCACACCAAGACAGCTGGGTCTCAGCAGTGGGGGTGAAGCCGGCACACGGTGGGAGAGCTCAGGGTCAGCAGGGCTGCAGTGGCGACTCCATTGCAGGACAGAAGGGACACACAGCCAGGACACAGCAAAGACCGCAGGGCCACTGTGGACAGCCAGGCCTCGGCGGGCACACGCTGGGACACTGTGGACAGCCAGGCCTTGGCGGGCACACGCTGGGACACTGTGGACAGCCAGGCCTCGGCGGGCACACACTGGGACTGACACTGGGGACAGCCAGGCCTCGGCGGGCGCACGCTGGGACACTGGGGACAGCCAGGCCTCAGCGGGCACACACTGGGACTGACACTGGGGACAGCCAGGCCTCGGAGGGCACACGCTGGGACTGACACTGGGGACAATCAGGTGGCAGCTCCGCCTCTTCTTTCTCATCCACCCAACTCTTCTCCTCCCCCTCTTTCTTCCCCTCCTCCTCTTTCTTCTCCTTCTCCTCTTCCTTTGCTTTCTCTTTTCTGTGTTCAGTCTGCTTTTTTCTTTCTTCTGACAACTGCATGCCCACCACATCAGGGCTCCTCCCTGTGTCTCCTACACAGACTGACAACTCTGGGTCTGAAGGACTGGAAAATGACTGAGAATCTGACACAGACAGTACCAGCCCCACCACCTGCAGACACCTCTCTCAGAGAGCCCCACGGAGTCAGTGGACAAAGGGCTTCACACCACTCCCTCCTTGGGGGAGATGCCACAGGGACCCCAGGAAGAACAGTGCTGACCACCACCACCACCTCTGTTTACCCTCACCCCCCACCTCCACTGGACAGCCTCTACAAACCTCAACCCAGATGTGTAAACCATGATGAAACATCACAAATTCCTGAACAAACAAGAGGCCACTCTCAAAAACTAAAAACAACACAGGGAAGACTTAAATGAGAGTGAAGAAGAGATGGTAAACAAAAGAATCATCAAAGCAATGATGAGAGAAATGGCCAATGAAACATGAACCACTAGAGCACCAAAGAGAAAATGGACCAGAAGATTTAATTATGAAGAAAATGCAGCACATGAGAAAGAGGGCCGATTTAATTATGAAGAAGATGCAGCACATGAGAAAGAGGGCCAACAAGGAGAAGAAACTATGAAAACTTCCATGAAGGGCAAGAGAAACAGCATCACTAAAGAGCTTGGAACCAGGAAGAGCTCTCTCTCCCTATTACAAAGCGCAGTTGAAGGCACAGGCCACAGAGCAAAACAAGTTGAAAAGAGGGTGTCAGGAGTTGAAGATAAAGCAGAGGAATTAGAACTGTCAAAGGCACTGAAGACACTGAACATGCCAAAGGGACATTCAAGAATTGGCAGATTTGGCCAAAGATCAAATCTACATATAATCGCAGTAGATGGGGGAGAAGAATTCAGAACAGAAAGCATTGAGAACCCATTCAACAAAATAATAACAGAAAGCATCCCCAAGTTAAAGAAAGACAATCTTACTCACATGACAGAGGCATACAGAACTCCAAGCAGACAAGACCAGAAGAAAAAAAAAAGACTCCTAGACACATTCTTGTATAGACTCTGGACTTAAACAGGGAATTACTTTTAAAGGCAGCAAAATTAAAGTGAGAACTTTATTACAATGGAAAGAAGATTGGAATAACTGCAGATTTCTCAACACACACTCCGAATGCAGGAGAGCCTGCGGTAGTATATAACTCATCATTCAGATTGACAACAGCTGCCAATCTGAACTATTGTGCCCAGGGAAGCTGCCGTCACAGCCGTCTGGCATCTGACAAAGGAGCCAAAGATGCCTCTTTAATAATTGTTGGAAAACTGGACCTCCCTATGTAGAAAACTGACATTGGATCCATTTGTCATCTTGCCCTATGATCAAATCAATGACAGTCCTGAAACTTTGAAACTACTACAAGATGAAGTTGGAGACTATTACAACTTATAGGTATAGGCAGGAACTTTTTTTAAAGAGAGTCCCAGGGTCACAGCAAATAGGATAGGGACGATATCAGGCTAAAAAAATTCTGCACATCAAAGGACATCGTTACTAAGCTAAAAAGATAGCCTACAGAGTGGGAGAAAATCTTTGCCATCTATACATGTGTCAAGGATCTAATATTCAAAATATAAGAAGACCTTAAGAAACTCCCCCCCAATTAATAACTCAATCAATAAAAGGGCAAGAGTTGGGGGGAGGGAAAGTGGGAGAAAAAAAAGTGGGAGAGGAGAAATGGGGGAGAATGAAGGAAGGAGTGACATTGTCAAGAAGCACTGTACTCATACCCTGACTTATGGAATGTAACCCCTTTGTACAACTACTTAATAATAACAATAAAAAATGAAAGAGACAAAAGTCGACAAGCAAAATGACCTATTTTTGGGCTGAATACAGGGTAAGAAGCCATCAATTTTATCAGATGTATATAACAGAAAAGAAAAGAAAACATAAAAGAGAAAGCCCACCAGACCTGGATGAGCACACAAGCTGAGTTCTCACTCGGGCAGCAGGCCAGATTTTGTCTTTATTTGTTCACCATGGGTGTTTTACTTGTGCTTTGCAAAGTAAGTCACAGGGCTGAAGATACTGCTAAGTGGGTGAGCTCCTGCCATATTTTGGTATTAATCATAAAAAATTTCCTTCCTTTAATAATTTTTTCAGTAAGTAAATATTTAGAGTGACTTAAAGACTGAAAACTATTGTTTTAAGGAGTTCAGCTGAACTAAAAGTTAGCTAATATTCTAAGTTTCTATTACACTCTAGGTTTCTATTTTACTCTATTAGCTTCAAACAACAATACTGTTTTTAGTTCTCTCAATACTTAATATCTCTTTAATACTTAATATTAAGAAGTATTAAGCTCATGGTTTTTCATTCTGAAATGAATTGTTTTATGTGTATAGTTCCCCCCAGAGATTTATGTCTAAGAATTACCTTATAATCCAAGTCTTCAAAACAGCTGAACACTACACAGTGTTTACCTAAGGCCTGGGAAACAAAAATGTTATCTTACTATAGTTCTTTAATCATGATAGCAAACAAAAACATTAAATGTTCCAGAGCAATAAAATGTCTGTTAAACTCTTGAAAAAAGTTTTGCAATCAAATACCAAATCAGTTTCACCAAATTCAATATAGTACAAAAATACATATACTGTTACTGACAGTTGATCAGTTCCTACCTGTTAGGACCTCAGCTCCTCCCTGCCCCGAGTCCCCACCCCACCCCGTAGCTGGCCACTCCCTATCTCCCCCAGACCCACTTACCTCACTTCTGCCCTCACCTCTCCCAGACCTACCTTCGACTTGTATAGGGGTAGACGCCATGGGCTCCATCTCCTGGGGAGATATGGCCCCTCTAATAAACCTTATAATAATCTTTCTCCTCTGCCTGCCTGCCTGTGAGTGGTTCCCTGGGATGGTCCCGAAGGATCCTTTTAGTACCAAATCTTTACTCAAATCTTCAGTTTAAAAAAAAAGAAAAAGAGCTGGGTGTTGGTGTCTCACACCTGTAATCCTAGCTACTCAGGAGGCTGAGAGGTGAGGATCATGGTTTGAAGCCAGCCTGGGTAGGAAAGTCCGTGAGACTTATCTCCAATTAACTACCAGAACATCAGAAGTAGTACCATGGCTCTAAGTGGCAGAGTGAAAACCTTGAGCAAAAAAGGACAGAGACAGTGCTCAGGTCCTGAGTTCAAACCCAGGACTGGAAAAAAATAATCATACTAGAGTCACAAACTATACTTTCTGCTTCTATCAGTCACCTGCTCTCCATTCAAATGATGTTCACCCTTCATGTGCCAGGCAGTTCACATAGTAATATTCCACACAAATACAAAGCAAATGTCCTCTCATTGAGACCCCAAGTCCTCCATCCAACAGGAATTCAAAGCTCAATCGCTGAAACCTGGTGCACATCTGTAATCCCAGTGACTTGGGAAGTGGACACAGGGTGAGCTCAAGTTCTAAGACCAGCTTGGGCAAAATTGGTGTGACCCTAGCTCATTCCTCCCTCAAAGAAAAAAAATATTGTGAGTATGGCTTAATTGGTATAGCACTTGCCAAGCACGTATAAAGCCCTGGATCCAATCCCCAGTATTACACACACACACACACACACACACACACGCACGCACGCACGCACGCACACAAATGGATGAGTTGTGTGACCTAATGAAGGTACTTGCTAAATGCAATAAACTGTAGGAATAGTGCAAGTTAAATTTTGTGGAACAGGATAAAAATTAAAGAAGCTTTACTTTGGACACGAAAGCCACTTACCTTGGCCAGATCTTTAACAGTTTCCGTTTTTCCTGTTCCAGCAGGGCCAGCAGTGCAGCCACCTAGGTTCAGGCTCAGTGCTCCCAAGAATGTCAGCCAGCACCTGTCCGTGAGGGGTGTGATGACCAGCCTTGGGGTACACCCCAAGTACTCGTATCCATAAGTAAAACTGGTGTTGCCTTGCATAACGTAGCACAGCTTTTGTTTTTCATTCCATTTATACTGCAAATGTCTGAAAGCAAAATATTTGAATGCTCATATATTATCTGGTTAACATTACTTTTTTCACACAAATAAATCTAATAGAGTTTAAAAATGGGGACTTTATAAAAAAACAGACAGAACTCAAAATGTTAACACAAATGAGATGTGATATAAAATTCACCAGTATTACAAGTTATATGACTATAAACATATGGGCTACTTTGTTTGATGTCAACCCCAAAGAAGGATTTATGATGTCACCTCCTATTTGAAGGTATTATATAGCTCACTAGTTTCCAATAGGAATGTGATCAAACATATTGTTCATTACAATTTAATTCTTACGAGGGAACTGAGAAATAGTTATTTAAGAATCAAAAATCTGGGCTTGGGGCTGGGGGCTGAGGGCTGATGCCTATAATCCTAGCTACTGAGGAGGCTGAGATCTGAGGATCATAGCTTGAAGCCAGCTGGGGCAGGAAAATTCATGAGACTCATCTCCAATTAATCACAGATAAAGCCAGAAGTGGCACTATTGCTCTAGTGGTAGAGTGCTAGCTAGTCTTGAGCAAAAGAAGCTAGGGACAGCACCCAGGCCCAGGGGGGAAAAACAAAAACAAAATACAAGTAAAAAAAAAGAAACCCCACCCTGCACTTTGACCTATCCTGTGAACATTGTGACTTGTGTAGCTGAGGATAAATGTTTCTTCTCAAGGCTCTGAGTGCAGTCCCAGAACCACAGGTGATTTTATGAAAATTCATGCTTGACTGCTTTATGTGCCCACCAGTACCAATTCATTTTCAAACACATGTAAAAGATTATTTTGAAAGGAATTATCTTTAAATAGTTGTACAGCAGGTTTTCAATGCAACCGGTCAGATTGTGAGTGTAGTACACCTCTGGCCAATGTCACCTCTGTCATTGCTTTCCCCATCTCTCCCAACCCTACCCTTCCCCTAAGTTCACCTAGTCCAATTTTCACACATATACATTGAATATTACGACTGCTTCCTCCCACCCTTCCCTCTATTTGCAAGGACCATTTTTGGAATAGATTTTACACTTGATTGTTTTAGTAATTAACACAACATCATAGGAAAAATCACGTGTCTACGTTTCAGTGCGGTTAGAGGTTCGGGCAGGGCCATGCACCCCACTGAAGGCCTGGCCCAGCACGGGTCCCCTCTGCCCCTTCTCATTCCACCTGCGGTGTGTTGTCATGGAGTCTCTTCTACATCTTCACGGACCATTGTGAGGGCCTGTTCCTCTCTGGGGTAACAGGGAAGATTATAAAGAAATCTTAAAAAAAACACAGAAACTTCTAAACAAAAGTTAAAAGTCTTTAAAAATGTGTGCACTGCAACCTTGCAAAGGTAAAAATAATCATCAGCAAAAACAGATGACAACCTTTGGAAAGAAATAAAAATGTGAAATCTCACATGTAAGCTAAGACTCTAATGCTCCACCACAGGCAGCCTCTCTTCTCCTATGTCTGCATATTTCCACAAGGAGCACAGGAAGTACTGGCCAGGGAGCTGGCTAGACGTGTTCTCTGGCTTGTTTTGAGAAGTTGATACCATGGGGAAATTAAAAAATGTTCCTCGGATGAGTGGCAAAAAGAACACCATCAGATTAGAAAGACAAAGTGGGAAGACATGAAAGTGATAGAGGGGGAGAGAAGAGGTAAAGAAGGCAGTGCAGGAATGTGGTACAAGGGGGCGACTTGCTTTGAATTTTGGCAAACTCCTGAAAATTACAAGTTGATATTTACAACGTTTGAAGCAGAGAATTTATTTACCTAATGATGCTTATGAGAGGTTAATACACATACTACCTTGACCACTCAAAATCCTCTGCATTGAATATATTTTTAAGTAGTAAATCCATCACAATATCTCTGCTGTGAACGTAGTGGGTAAGCAATGCTTCCAGCACAGTTTTCGTTCGAGAATTACTAGTATTCAACCCAATCAGCTCTGCAGCTTCTTTCAGATGCCAAATCACAGCAACATGGACTTTCTCCAGCTCTTCTCTTGGATTAGAACTCACAAAGCTTCTGATACAATCATTATGAAACATGATCTGGCCCTGAAAAAGGCAAATGAGTCGAAATACATTTCATTTTAAATTAAAACACTTTTATGAAGTATATGTGACATTTGTATAATGTATACTTGTGTGTGTGTGTAAAGGAGAGAGCTTGAACATATATATTTGAAGACTAATTGAAATCCAGTCAATGCTTTTACTGGATGGGGTGTGGAGAGACTTTTTCCTTTATGCCATGGAACTGCTGTTACTTAAAGCCATTCTTCAAGAATGGCCATGGTGAGAGAGATTGTGAGATGGGTTTTAAATTTTTTATTTGCTCATTTATTTAAAGAATGGTTATACTATTTTGTGTCAGTGGACACTGAAATTCTCACAGTGGCCAATGCATAAAGACACCCCCTGGTATGTACTCCTGCAGGGGCCTTTACATCTCCTAAGGGACAGCTCCTCTGTGTGCAACACACACAGCGGTTCAAGACAAAGGGAAGCGGTAAACTATTCCTGGAAAGATGAATCAGCATCGGTAGGGCACGTTCCGTGAAGTACTTCTGGAAATAGAATGCCAGTTTCTTATTGTTAGACATGTTTGGAACACCAGGAATCTGGGGAAGACCCCTTACTAATGCAGCTTTGATAGTAGAATTTACTAGAGAAATATGCAGATCAACTCATCATTATTTTTGTCATCTTTGTACAGAACTGCGTAAAGAAGTCGTTCAGATGAAGATGGGATTTGCTCAGTCAAATGGACTAAGTAGCATAAAGGACAAAGAGACTTAACAGGAGTAATTTCTGCCTACAAGTCCAGATTAACTTAGAAAACTTGAATTGTAGTAGATCAAGCTAAAGTAAAAAGATGTGAAATTATTCTTACTTCATTTTTAAATTTTTGTTGCCAGTACTAGAAAGCAGGCCCATGCACTTGTTCACTCAGCTTTACTCGCCCCGAACAGTTAGGTCATGCCCCCAGCCTGGCTTTTGCGAGTCATTTTTGGAGATGGAGTCTCAGGGACTTTTCTGTTTGGGCTGATATTAGCCATGATCCTCTAGATCTCAGCCTTCTAAGGAGCTAGGGTTTCAAGCATGCGACACGGGAGCCTTGGTGTGAACTTATTTTTCAATGGGCTAGAAATCCATATTTAAAAAATACTTGCTAGTAGCAACTAGTGGCAACATGGTTTCTACTATTACCACTCCAGAAAAACGACTATTTTTAATTAGAGGTAGAGCTCAAGAGGCTTTAGCAAGCTTGAGGCCAAGTAAAACCCCACTAAGAACAAAAAATGAAGGAACAATAATTCCAGCTACTTAGGAGGTGCTGATCAGGTGAATCATGGTTTGAGAACAGCCCAGGCAAAAGGAAAAATATGTTTGTAAAAATTCTATCTCAAAAAGTAAGTTCAGGGTTGTGGTTCACAGCTGTGATCTCAACGATGTGTGAGGCACGGGTAGAGAAATGGCATCGCACACACAAGGCCCTAAGTTCTAGCCCCAGTAGTACCAAAAGACAAAGCAAAAACCAAAAACAAACCCTACTCTCACAATGAGCTTCATGACTAACAGGTTATGACAATCTTTGGAACTGTCTAGAGCTTTTAAAAATTATGACCACCTCTTTTTTTAAATAAGCAATTCTTTCTAGAGAAAGGTCAAAGAAATGAACAGAAGGTGTGTCTTCCTTCAGCTCCATGACAACTCTCCTCCCTCCCGCCTTCCTCCACCTCCTCACCTCCTCATTTGCTCCCTCCTCCCTTCCTCCACCTCCTCACCTCATTTGCTCCCTCCCTCCCTCCCTCCTGCCTTCCTCCACCTCCTCATTTGCTCCCTCCCTCCCTCCCTCCCTCCTCCCTTCCTCCACCTCCTCATTTGCTCCCTCTCCCTCCCTCCCTCCCTCCCTCCTGCCTTCCTCCACCTCCTCATTTGCTTCCTCCCTCCTCCCCTGCCTTTCTCCACTTCCTGTACCTCCTCATTTGCTCCTTGGTATTCTTGTTTTTCTTGTCCATTTCTCCCTGTGGCTTTCCTTTTGTCCACTCATTAAATATTGCTGTTCCTTGGGCTCTTTCCTTACACTTACTTTATACATTCTGCTTGGAAGCCCTATGATTCCTCTAGCTTCAACAAAACAACTTCCAATTCAGACTTTCTGGACATCATCCAAATTTTCCCTCTCATTCTCTTTTAGTCTCCAGGAAAACCAATATTGCAAATATGTGTGCAGAATCAAGTGGGCAGGTTACGCAATGGCTTCACACAGAGGGGCTCCATGGCCATCCCAAGAACCAGCGGCCATGTCACCTGTGAGCACCAAGGGCTGACCGGGAGGGCAGCGGCCATGTCACCTGTGAGCACCAAGGGCTGACCGGGAGGGCAGCGGCCATGTCACCTGTGGAGGGCAGCGGCCATGTCACCTGTGAGCACCAAGGGCTGACCGGGAGGGCAGCGGCCATGTCACCTGTGAGCACCAAGGGCTGACCGGGAGGGCTCTTCTGGATTATTTAAATGAGTCGGTTCTTAAAACTGGAAAACGTGTTCTACCTTTGAGTTGGAAGAAGGCCAGAGAGAAGCAACCGTGCCGGCTTTGAAGATAAGCACAGGAATAATGAGACAGAAAGCCCAGAGACACCGGACATTCTGGTCTCAGTGCAGAAGACCTGATGAAGCCTTCTGACACCATGACCTCAGTGTGGGGACCCCACACTGTCTTCTAACCCACAGAGCTCTACGATGACATTATTGACACCTGTCAATTCAGACTAATGGCATCTTATTTTTAATGTATTTCCAAGTAAGCGACAAGTATTAGTACTCTTCATACTGGCTCCTTTGCCAGATCTTGGTTTTATCGATGGAGCCACACACTGAACTCTCCTCCACACACGCAGAGCAGCGTGACTTACCACCATGAGCACCACCTGTCCTGGATGAGACACTGCCCACAGGGAAAAATCCTGCTGCATCCAGTCTTCAACCCCTTGACTCACAAACCTACAAACAAAAACGTATTTGCATTATCTGAGTCTAACCAGTGGCCACAGCCATTGAGTGACAGCTGATTGCTTTGTTCACCTGTCTGTGCAGACTGCAAATCCTTTATGTGGCTCCTACCACATTCTACTTTCTTATTTTAGTCATTCACTCTCTGAAGTAATAAAAGTACATACTAAATTAGAAAAACACACAAATTAACCTTAAAATTGTAAGTGCTACCAAGAGCAAATATATAATACTTTGTACAAATTTCAAGTGAATCTTCATAGTAGAGCCCTGCATTTGGTTTTTGAAAGTAATCATAATGGAGAAGACAGGTGTGTGTGTGTGTGTTGTGTGTGTGTGTGCACGGGAGGAGTTCCTGGGACTAGACCTCAGGGCCTTTCCTCTCACTTGGCTTCTTCCCTCAAAGTTGGTCCTCTACCACTTGAACCACAGCTCCACTTCAGCTTTCTTTTGCAGGTTAATTGGAGATAAGAGTATCATGGACTTTTCTGCCCAGGCTGACATCAAACCTTGGTTCTTAGATTTCAAACTGCTGAAAAGCTAGAATTGTAGCTGTTAGCCACCAGTGTCCAGCCAGGGTAAGTTTTATTAAATATATCTAGAAATTTTTATTTAGACCTGAAGTAACATATGCCAACATTATGTGTTTTGATAGTCATGACAGGTTTTAATAGAGTAACTTTAAGTTTCTTTTATCAGTATTTTATCTTTAATTTATCACTACCATAGATTACAAATTCTCAATACTAGCTTTCATTGACTTTTTTATTGACTTTTTAAAGGACTGCAATAGCTTTATTGTTTTACATTCTACTTGAACATTGAAATGAAGCATTGATGCTTTTAAATTTTGCTGTGCTTGTCTATCATATCTATTATTTGTATTATCTTCTTTATCATTGTTGCTAAAAAGAAGCATGTCATACAACTTTTTCTTTTACACAGGTTCACACTGGAAAGCCCACCCAGACTGGCCCTTCCATTTTCCAAGTGCTGGGGGTTGTGGATGTGGTCACGAAAATGACTTTTTATATGCATAATGTGCTTTACATCCCATGAATTAAAACCAACATCAGATTTTTTTAAAAAGTGTCTCTACTTAATACATTCTTATTTTTTTTCTGGGAATTTGTCCCTAAACAATAGATGTGATCACCATTTACATAGAGTATTGGGTATTATTCTGACGGTATGGAAAGACACGGTGGCATGCAAACGTGGTTCTATTTTATTCACAGCACTTGAGCATGTGCGCATCTTGCTGCTCCTGGGTGAAGTGAGTCCTGGAACCAATCCCTGGGGCCATTGAGGGATGACAGTATTTCAAAAGCATTATCAGTAGCAGATATATCTTTACCAATTAATTTTTATTTTGTATTATGCCAATGGTGCTTCATTTTATTCTTAAATATGGCTCTTGCTTACAGGGCCATAACATGTTTTACTAAGTGTAGGCTTCAAGAAAAATAGGATTCATAAAGTGTTACAATTTTACTAGTATCCAGTAGAAGATGTTTATAATTGTCATACAATATGCCCAAAGAAATGAACAATCTAAAATAGGAAGTAAAAATATCCATTGACCCCAAACCACGAGGAAAGATAGGCATAAATGGAAAGAATGAGTCCACATGTGATGGTAATTTCAGTGAGTGCTGAAAAGCCAGCATATCGATTCTTGTATGAGCAGGAAACTCCCTTGAACAGCAGTGGATTATCATAAAAATGAGGTGGAGGACTGAGTCAGAATGAAGTTGGAAATCTGAGCAGACAATGAATACAGCAATTAAGCCTAGCACCACGTATTTTCACTGCTAAATTCTATCAAACATTTAAAGAATTAAAACCAATTTTCACAAACTCTTTCAAAATATTGACAAAGGAGTAGTTGCAAACTCATTTTTCAAGGACACCAAAGCCAGGCAAGGACACTATTAAAGTCACAGGCCAGTATCTAATGAACATAAATATAAAAACTCTGAAAAAAACACTAGGAAAATAAAATGGTATATTAAAGAACCATTTTCCAATTATATTAAGTGAAGTTAGCCAGACCCAAAGAAACAGGCCCCATGATTTCCATTATTTGCAATAACTAGTATACATCTAGGATAATCTTACCAGACAAGCAGGAAAGGTCAAAGCTATGTACATATGACCACATAAGATGATGCTAAGTGAAATGAACCCCAAGATAGGGGCACAAGAGGTTTTATCTTTGTCACTGTTGTTTTTAATGTACTATGTGATTTTTTTTTTGTTTCTTTTCAATGTTCTTCCCCCACGGTATAACCCCTGTTGTCACTGTATTTGATTCTGGCGCCCTGCATCTTGTATATACATTTTTTTCTAATTTGGGGAGGGGAAGGGAAATAACAAAATGCTGAAATAAGGATACAGGATGACCCCTTGTAACAATGAGATGTACAAGACACTAGGTTGAAAAGGAACTTTACAACTTGGTGGGGGGGGGCAAGGGAAGGAAAGGATGGTAGGGTTTGTTGTTGTTTTTATTTTTTTTGGGGGGTCTGGTCGTGGGGCCTGAACTCGGCCTGGACGCTGTCCCTCAGCTCTTCAGCTCAAGGCTAGCACTCTACCACTTGAGCCACAGCGCCACTTCCGGCTTTTTTCTTTTTGCTTATGTGGTGCTGAGGAATCAAACCCAGGGCCTCAGGCATGCAAGGCAAGCGCTCTACCACTGAGCCACCTTCCCAGCCCCAGGATGGTAGGGTTTAACAAAGGAGGGGGTAACAAAGCTCGATAGGAAATGTACTCATTACCTCACTCATGTAACTGTAATCCCTCTGTACAGTATCTTTACAATAAAAATATTTAAAAAATTTAAAAATAAAAAAGAATCATTTTCCATAATCTAATAGGATCTAAATGGGATTCAAAATGGTTCAGTATATACAAATCAATAAATATGATCTATGATTTTAATAGAATGAAGGGAAACTACAATTTCAACAGATACTTAAAAAAGTACTTGATAAAATTCAACATCCTTTTCTGGTAAAACTAAAAAAATTAGGCATAAAGGTAATGTACCTCAATACAATCAAGACTACATATGAAAACTGTACAGTTAATATAATAATAGTGAAAAGTTGAAAATGTTTCCTCAAATCTCAGTGACAAGACCGGAATGCCCAAACAACTCTCAGAATCAGTAGTGTTTCTTTATATAAACAACAAACTTTCTGAAAAACAAATTAAGAAATCAACACATTCACAATAGCTACAGAGAAAATATTCAGAAGTCAATTTAACTAATTGGCACACAGGCAGCCAAGATGGAAGTTGAGTGGGCAGGGCCGGACTTGTTTACCTTTAGTGCATAAACAGCTCCTGGAAGCTTAGGTGCATGATAGGGTGTGACCTTTATAGTGATTGGTTGGTTCCGTGTCCTCCCCACCCACGCAATCTTTTGCTTCAAAAAGGGCTTGCTGTGTGGTAATAAAACGAGTTCCTGCTTGATTTGACTCCCCGCTGCATCTGATTGTCTCCCGGGCTTAGGAAGGCTGGGGTGGGAGACCCTGTCTGGACCCCATCCGTCTTTCGTAGGACAGAGGAGGACCCAAGGACCCAACACCCAGTACTGGCACACACAAGAAGTGTAGAGAAAGATACAGGATTATTATTATTATATTGGCAAGTTATAATGTCTCCAGGGTTCTTTTTTTCTTTTGTCAGTCATGGGGCTTGAACTGGATGAGACTGGAGGCTGAGGGTGAGGTACTTGGAAGCAGGCAGAGACAGACGTCTGGCCACTCTTCAGGTGTCCATGAACTCAAAGGGCACAAAGCCACATATGCGCCCTCACTCTACCAACATCCTTCCATTTATCTTAGCAGGTAATAAAGTGCGTGTCTATATGTGCGTGTGTGTATATCACAGAATTTTAGGATCTGAGTGTTATACTCACTTTTTCACCACATCGAACATGCTTTTCTCCACATTTAACAGCCATTGTTCCACAGCACTTCTTACGCGGATTTTCCTATGTATTTCAAAAACAGTATTATTATATAATATTATGAATCACATGAATTCATTTGTATGTCAGTCTTTTGATAAACTTATAGACTGTTTTCTACATATTTATACTACTTATGGACCAGAGGCATATAATTCTATCATATTTTCTGGTTTCTCTAGATTTTAAATTAGAAAATGATATTGAAAACATACTACCTAGCTTCAGGAAATGTTGACATCAAACCTATGAATATATACAATAATTAGGCAAATAGGAATTTGAAAATAGAAATGCACAAAATAGACCAATTGTACCATGAAGTATTTTTGGATTGCTCATGGTCTTTTCAAGTGGCAGAACTGGGCTGTGGCTTGGGAGGGTTCTTAAAGCATGCTGGGAGGTGGGGACGCTGTGGGGCCCTTGCGGAGGCCCCATGGACAAGAACCCTAGGTGTCCTGTTTTCCCGGACCCCAGAATGATGCAAACAGAGGCTGTGGAAGCAGTGATGGCAGTACCCTTAACAACTCAAAAGAGTAAATTTTCTCCCCGTCTATGCTCACAATAAAACTTGGAAGTAAACATAAAAAAAGAGTATGAAACTAAAGCAGAGTTCAATGACAGAGCAAAAGACAGGCACAAATGAGAAGGCCTGCAGAGTTCTGAAGATTACCTTCTAACATTAGGACACAGCAAAGAAGCAAAGAAGAGAGTGTTCTGTGTTAAGAAGAAGACAGTGAAAGCCTTGGAAGAAACACTTCACACGGCAAACTCCCATCAACTACAAGTCCCATCAACATCTAAGCAGACATTTCAAAACAAGAAGCTTCTAAGAGGTTTGGCCTACTCTCATACTTGGGCAGCAGAAGACCCTCTCCTTCTGCAGATATGAGCATTTTTACAGCAGGGGGTCCAATTTCTTCTTTCCAGATCAATACTTGTTTTATATTTTCAAAACATTTCACAAGATGAGGCTGTGGACCAGAAAATAATGTTGGTAATATTGTAAAATCCTGACTTGGTTAGGAAATATCATTGCTAACAGAACGTTCCTGTTACCTGCACAGACTCAGGATTCCTGCTGTCAGCCAGTATATCGAGAAGCTCAGCATTGCTGAGAAAGTAAAACCTTGGGAAAATCATTCTTTTAACTTCAAGGTAATCCTGTCCAGAACCAAAAGAAATGCAGTTCAGAAGATAAATCTATGATAGGGGTTGAATCATCATATAGGCCTACATTACATACAAATATCACAGTGAAAGTTGTTGTCAGTCAAAATATTAGCCCGTGAGTAATGAAAACTATGTTTAAGTTGTGAAAACATTTTAAATAAAATAGGAAAACCGAAGTCCAAATGAAAGCAAGCAGAAAAGCGCACATGTGCACACTTACTATCCGTCAGTAAGACGCCGTTGTGGTGTTCCCACATGTGTGTGTGCTCTAGCTGCTCTAGTTCTGTGTGTCGTCCTCACCTGAGAAACATGGCCTCACTGCACAAATAACCTCACATTCTCCTTACTCAGAACTCCCTTTTCCTGCTCCACAACTTCACACTAGTTAGTGTATGGTTATCCTTCTTTTCAGTAAAACAGATACATTGTTTGTGAATGGCAGCCATTTTCCTACTCTCCTATCTCTTCAATCTTTCCCTTGCAACAAACCTCCTTATTAAAAAAATTTGAGACGCCCTTCTCCCTTAATGCTCTGGCAATGTAAAAAGCATAGGGGGCCAATACATTGATTTAGGAGCTCATCAAAATATTCTAATTTAGCTGGGCGCTGGTGGCTCACACTTGTAATCCCAGCTACTCAGGAAGCTGAAATCTGAGGATCAAGGTTCAAAGCCAGTCCAGGCAGGAAAGTCCCTTGAGACTCTTCTCCCCAATTAAACCCACCAGAAAATCAGAAGTGGTAGAGCACTCGCCTCGAGTAAAAGAGCTCAGGGACAGTGCTCAGGCCCTGAGTTCAAGCCCCAAGACTGACAAAAATAAATAAATAACTTGAATTCAGTTTTTGCTAAAACTACAATTAATAGTGATGCTATTAATACTTATTAACTGTAAGCGCCAGGTCCTGTGCTTCAACAGCGTCCTCTCCTTCCCTTCTGCTCCCCGGGAACCACTGCCTTTACTCTCAACCTAAAGACAAGGGGTCCTGGGCACAAAAAATCTTGAACCTTGGGGCTGGGAAGGTGGCTCAGTGGTAGAGCGCTTGCCTTGCATGCATGAGGCCCTGGATTCAATTCCTCAGCACCACATAAGCAGAAAAAGCTGGAAGTGGCACTGTGGCTCAAGTGGTAGAGCGCTCGCCTTGAGCTGAAGAGCTGAGGGACAGCGCCCAGGCCCAGAGTTCAGGCCCCATGACCGGACCCCCCCCCAAAAAAAACAACCTTGAACGTCGATACCACGCCTGAGGCCACTGAGGTCAGCCGTCCTTTTTTTTTCTTAATCCTATTTTCAGGACCTCCAAAGTTCGTGAGAGAGAGAAGCGCTGGCGGTGAGAAAGCAAGCAAGCAGGAAGCCCGCGCTGGCACTGGCCGCACGTGCAGTGGGTCTGCATGCCATGCTTGTGCAGTTACCTCCAGACTTTTCTTTATAGTCTCAAGATGCATGTTGCAGTTCTGCAGCACTTCCAGGACTCCTGCGGAAGTGGTTATTCGCAAGGCCTCTAGCTTGTTCTGCACTTTTGACATTAATTCCTTCCACATGGAGATCACCATGGAGAAGTGCTTTGTTTCTGCTGGGAGCTGCCTTTAGAAATAAAATTAGTTTTAACCATTTTTTGAAAGCACTATCATTAACATAATAATCTAAATGTATTTGCTACAGAATACTGTGGTATTTATAAAACAATTTTGATGTTTTTTTTCTTGATCATTTATGAATTATATATTATATGAGTTTTATATACTTACATATTAATTATATCCGCTATATACTTATGTAGTAGCTAATATATAATTATATATAATAAATATATTAATTACTATATATTACTTAAGTAATGTATATGGTAAGAAATGTATACATAATGAATAAATATAAGAGTGTAATATATGTGTATAATGTATATGGTAGGTAATGTATATGGTAAAAAATACTAGGAAAATTAGACATATAACTATCACTGAACTGAAAATTAATTGCACTTGACAGGCACACACACACACACACACACACACACACACACACATGCACGTCTCTAAAATCACTCTTGTTGCAGGGAGTTCCTGGTCTATAACAACCATGCACCCCTGTACTCCTTGTTGGTCCTGTTACTAAAGACTGCTTTAGAGCTGTCCATGAAGGGACACCCTTGTTGTTTATTTTGTTTGTCGGTTGTGGGGCCTGAACTCTGGGCCTGGGCACTGTCCCTCAGCTCTTCAGCTCAAGGCTAGCACTCTGCCACTTGAGCCACAGTGCCACTTCCGGCTTTTTCTGCTTATGTGGTGCTGAGGAATCGAACCCAGGGCCTCAGGCATGCAAGGCAAGCGCTCCACCACTGAGCCACCTTCCCAGCCCAGCCCCCTGGTTTTTAATGCCCCCACATACTGGTACAAAAAAAAGTCACACTCTCACAAGAACTCTCTCACTGTCATGCTCCCCATCTCTGAAGTGCAGCAGAAATCCTATCATAGAGGACAGACCAACTCTACTTAGTGAAACGCACCCTCCTTCTGGAAAGCTCTAGTGTAGCACCCACGGGGTTCTTTATTCTTTGCTTCCCGTCACAGTCTTCCTGCCCCACGGCTCTTGTGACGTCCCCTTTCTCGAGAGCCCCTGTTGGTGCTGCCCTATCGTCCTCCCCTTTCCTTAAAGGTCTGTTGCCAACTCATCCCCCTCATCCGTAGACTCATCTTATCCGTGCTGTTACTATCTTTCAATTCATATTTCCTTTTACAATCTCACCAAATTTTGTATACGGTTAACTTAGTCATATTTTTTCCTCTTTTATTTAGGAGTCTTGATCTATTAATAAAAGATATCTTTAGTAAAAAGTACTAATGATTTGAATTTAAGATTCAAAGTGAGAGCAACCATAAGGATACACTCCGTGGGTGTGTAGTCTCACCTTGGAAGACTGCCAAGAGTGAGCGTAGATATACAGCGTCCCAAACACTGCTGAGCTACACAGCATATCAAAAATAAATATTGCTCCTACTAAGCAATGCTTGTACCTGAACAGTTTTCTTTCTCCCCCAAAAGGAAGTTCTAAGTACTTAACCTGAAATCCTAGGCTTCCTAGCACCCCATAAAGTCTCACTTTTCTTCAGATTATAGACTACAAAAGCTTGTATTTTTGTTGTTGCTGGGTTTTGTTTGGTTTTATTTTGTCTTGTTTTGGTTCCCATACTGTGGCTGGAACTCAGGGCCTTGTGCTCTCATTCAAATTTAACTTCCTAGTTCAAGGCTGGTTTTCTACCACTTGAGCCATGTCTCCAGAATGGCTTTTTGCTAATTAATTGGAGATAGAATCTTACAGGCTTTTCTGCTCTGGTTGTCTATGAACTACAGTTCTCTAGGTCTCAGACCCCTGAGTAGCTAGAATTGTAGGAATGAGCCTATATGCCAATAGTTTCAATTCTTCCTAGAAACTTATTTCTGTCAACTTAAACATTCTTAAGACCAATCACTTAAAAAAATTAAAGTCACCTGGAGTGCCAGTGGCTCACACCTGTCATCCTAGCTACTCAGGAGGCTGAGATCTGAGGATCATGGTTCAAAGACAGCCTGGGCAGGAAAGTCTGTGAGACTCTTATCTCCAATAAACCACTAGAAAACCAGAAGTGGTGCTGTGGCTCAAGTGGTAGAGCGCTCGCCTTGAGCTGAAGAGTACAGGGACAGCGCCTAGTCCCAGAGTTCAAGCCCCACGATCAAAAAAAAAGAAAAACCAACCAACCCCCCCAAAACCAAATTAAAATCAATTAATCCTAATGCTATGAATGAAAAAAGGTAAAATTTTAATAACTGATAAGGTGCTCTATTAATCTACCACATTCAAAGCCAGAAATTATCATTAATATATGAGTGCTACTAAAATAACATTTGTGCAACATTAGGGCCATACTAATACCCTGGAACTGAACAGATATATAATTTTGTAGCTTAATGGTTATCATGATGTATGTGACATCTCCTTCCCAGATTTTACATCTTTATATTGTCAACAGAGAAATTGGACTTTTAAAAAAAGATGATGCTTGTAATCTCTTATGAAAGAAAATGTTACAATGAACCAGCAATTAATATCTCTAGGTGGATAGTTTGTTGACATGATTTCTCAGGAATTACAGAAGTAAAATTCTCCATTATGCATTTTTTGCATTTTTACCTGGAAATGGTATATTTTGGTATTTTTTTACCTTTGTATTTCTACAGAATGAAAGATTGGTTCAAGGTAAAGCCAGCTTCTTTGACAATTCATCCATTCTCCAAGAGTGTAAGAAAAGAGATTTAAATTTTTGTCCCATTTACGTACAAGATCCTAGAAGACAAAAAAACATCACATAGACAAAATGCATGAAACTTCTCTATAAGAATCACATACTAGGGCTGGGAAGGTGGCTCAGTGGTACAGCACTTGCCTTGCTTGCATGAGGCCCTGGGTTTGATTCCTCAGCACCACATAAGCAAAAACAAAAAAGTCGGAAGTGGCACTGTGGCTCAAGTGGTAGAGCGCTAGCCTTGAGCTGAAGAGCTGAGGGACAGTGCCCAGGCCCAGAGTTCAAGCCCTACGACCGGACCCAAAAACAAAAACAAAAACAAAAAACAAGAATCACATACTAGAACCCAATGTGAAGGGTGATCTTTTAATGACACCCAGAAAATCATTAATGGTTACACGAATGAAAAACAAACTATATTTAGTTTTTGAAGTTTTAAGATACCTTGTTTAATTTTGTTTATATGATCAACAATTTTGGTAAAACCTTAATTAACACATCCATCTATAGAAAGTAACAGGAATTTTCCACTCAATACTTATTTCCTATTCCTTTTGTAGAAGAAGTGTAGCCAGGAGTTTGGTAAGCATTTTATTTTAGTCCCTTCTTAGGCATTTCTATACACACGTAACTGTATTGTACCCATTGTCCTGTAATCTGCTTTTTAAAACACTGACAATGACTTCTTCTTGCCTTGCACAACTATCCAGGGATTCCATTTGCAATTTACCCTTCCCCTAGAAAACCAGATGGATCTGGACACCTGAGGCTTGTGCCTTTAATCCTGGCTACTCAGAGGCTGAGATAGGAGGGTCACAGCTCAAAGCCAGCCCAGGCAGGAAAGTCTGTGAGACTCATCTCCTAACAATTAACCATCAATAAGCCAGAAGTAGTAGAGTGCTATCCTTGGGCAAAAAAGCTAAGGGACAGCCCAGGCCATTAGTTCAATGGCACATACATACAAAAAAAAAAAAAAAAGAATATCATGGGAAAATGGTTTTAAAAAATCAAGGCTACAATACTTCCTTAAAAGCCAGGCCTATTCCTGACTGCCTCCTGAGGGAAGGGATCACACATGAATCACATTTGTTTTCTGCCTAGGTTCACTTATTTCTTACTTTCTTTTACATTTAAACTGTTTATTAAGTTTAGCTTATTCTCATGCCTGTGAGATGATCACTACAATCAAGAAGTCAACACATCCATTTTTCCTGAAAGGGAAAGCCTGCGCACGCATCTCTCCAGGCTAAGTTCTCTCGGGTGGTTGGTTCCCTGGTCTCTGGCAGTTCTTCACAGTCACGTGCCGTTGCCTGGGCTGGGCCAATTATGAGCAGGGAGGCCTTACACCATGCTGATGCTCTCTAACAGGCCACCTCTGGGGGCACCGTCTTCTAGGCTCTAAGCTCCCTTGCGTCTCCAGATGTTAAACAGCATCTCATGTCAGGTCCTGCCTGGCTTCTTTGCTTTCCCCCCAACCAAGGTCTGGAAAGGCAAGGTGGGGCGTTGGTGTCCCCGTAGGGCTTGCCTGTGTGCTTCTCACATCCCAGACATCTCGGCTTGTGCTCTCTGACGTTCAGCGTCCTGGAAAACACCATCCCATATGTCCTGTCTGGTTTGGGTTGGGTGTTTGGGGCATGATTCCATCTTGCTTTGAAGTAGAAGTTTGTGTGTGCATGTGATGTTCTCTTGGCTTCCTGAGTGTTTCACTCAGTTGTTATTTCTTAATTTCATTCTTTACTTCTGACAAAGGCATTTAGTGCTTTAAATATTAATTTTCATAAGGCTGTGGTAAACTGTGGTAAGGTTTTTTTTTTAACTTTTTTTTTTTTGGGTCCGGTCGTGGGGCCTGAACTCTGGGCCTGGGCACTGTCCCTCAGCTCTTCAGCTCAAGGCTAGCGCTCTACCACTTGAGCCACAGCGCCACTTCTGGCTTTTTCTGTGTATGTGGTGCTGAGGAATCGAACCCAGGGCCTTGAGCATGCAAGGCAAGTGCTCTACCACTGAGCCACCTTCCCAGCCCTGTGGTAAGGTTTTATATGTAATCTCTCCTTATGTGTTATTTCTAAATTTTAAAAACTTGAATTGCATTTCCTGTTTGATTTTTATGCACGTATTCTGCTGTTCTTTTTTATTGTTACATCACTATTTTATTGTTAAATTTTTTTCTTCTTTTTCATAATTTGAGATTTTTCTTTAAAGCCTATTTAAATGAAAATCTCTAAATGTTGTATATTTGCAAAGAATGTGGCTTCTACGTGTTGAATACACACCTCTGCAGCCATGTGCATTCCACACGTTGAATATGTGTATAGTCAACTATATTAATTTTGCTATTGAGCATTTCTATATTATTACTTATCTTACTAACTTTGCTAAAATTAAAAAAATACTTCTGAGGTACATGGTTGGACATGGAGTTATGTAATCAGGGATTATTAGGATATAGCAAACACTTCTGGTAAAAGTCAAGGTTTATGGGTCATATTTTCTATGCTTTAAGTTTATGGTATCTGTCCAAATTAAACTTTCTGACATTTCCTCACAATTACTGTTTCTTTAAAAATTGTTCTTAGCCAGGTTGAATAAATGTATAGATGTAAGGGCAGCATAGAGAAACTCAGCAAAACTGATGATCAACAGAACAGGGAGAAGAGAATGAGACTCTGGAGGGCTGTTGGGACCAGCAGGAGGGAGCTGGTCTGGTGGGGAGGATACAGGAGATTGAACACTGCTGAAACAGATCATCTGCAACTATGAAAACAGAACAAAGAAACCTGTTGGAGATGCTAGTTTTTTTGGGGGGGAGGGGGTGGGACAAAGAATGTGACAGAGGGAATAAAACTGGAGTGCAGAACAATGTGCAATGAAATATAGCTGATATAAACCAATATAATTATTCTTAGCAATCAAGGCATTACATATTTAATCTTATTTCTGTGTAACTATACAAAGTATTTCATAGAATTCAAACACAAAATTACAGTAAGTAATTTGGGAGATGTGTACTAGGACTTGAGCTGAGGCATTATCCTTTAGGTTTTGTGCGCAAGGCTAGTGCTCTACCACTTAAGCTACTCCTCTACGTCCAGCTTTTTTGCTGGTTAATTGGAGAAAAGAATCTCATAGACTTTTCTGCCAGGGCTGGCTTTGGAACTATGATTCTCAGATCTCAGCTTCCCAAACAGCTAGGATTGCAGGGCAGGAGAGAGCCACTGACAACAGGCCTAGAAAGGGATAAACTGTAGAAAATTAAGATATTTTCTCTGTACTCATGAGGCTGAGGTAGGTGGATTACAAATTTGAGGCTAGCCTGGGCTACATAAGCAAGATCTTGTCTCAATCAAACCAACCAATTAAAACAAATAAATAAAAAATCATTGTTTTTTTGCCATTATATTTACCTTAATTGGTTCAAGATAGGGAGATCCTTTAATTGTTGCAAGAATGACTTGAGATTCTTCTAGCTGAGCTAGAATATCGTCCACAGATGAGATTACCAAGATTGAGTAAGTCTCTGAGTGGTGCATCACTAAATGCAGAGGCGTTGTGTTCCAAAGATCAATGATCTTATACAGCATCTTTTCAAGAGCAGCTTCATTAGTTGCTGAGGTTGATATTTCATTTATTTCACTTTCATACTGAAACATCTAAAATGAACAAGTTATTTCTTAAGACAAACAATTTTGAAAACATTTAAAATGGAAGATTTAAATGCATAGCTTGAAAGGTTTATCCGAAGGACGGGGAACGGCGGTCTGAGGCCAGCCTGAGGCCCCAGTCCCCACCGCTTATCCTTCCTAACAGAGCTCTCTTCAGGTTTATCGTTATTATGAAGGTGTTGCACAGCAGGGTTACCATTTCCGAAGCCCGGCAACGAGTCCATTTCTTGTTTTGGACAACGTCACTGCTTCTTTTGCTCTCCTCCAGTTTTTCCCTCCCGTCCTTGCTCACAAGTTACATAGCATCTTTCATGTTCCACAGCACCGGTACTCACTGTCACCACCTCACATGCTTCCGGTGCAGGGGCAGGAATGCTGGTTAGCACCATCATCTGCCCGCCTGTGGATGTGCAGATGGTGTTAGGTCTTCAGCGTTCTTTCCTCTTTACTAATGCTTACTGCTCAACCATTATGTGGCATGCGTTTACTCTCTTTAATCAGCCCTGGAGTACATTCACCTGAGAGGATGTAGCTCCCCTTTCTTTGCCATATCTCCTTAAGTACACCACATGTCTCTTTGAGTGTCGGTGATGCCATTCACCAGAAGCCCGATCTAAACTTCCCAGATGCAGTTAACAGAGACGCACTCAGAGCTAGTCACATCCAGCCTGTGCAACTGGCCGGTTAGAAAGAAGGATTTGCAGCTCTTCCCATATGTCCTCTTCATGGAGCTAAAGAACAGTGTTTAACTATATTTCAGTAATCCAGCTCCGTGAGGACTATGAACAGGTTGACTTTATTTTTATGACATGTCAAAGGTGGGTGGGTATGAGGATGGTAGGGTTAACTGGACGCTCACAGCCTTAACTGTTTTTGAATACCCGTTCGGGCTGGAAAGGCAAGGAGAGCTCCCTGGGGCCCTCTGAGGTATCATGGACCTCTACTCAGGTAGGCTTCCAGCGGCTACCCATTTTTTTTTTTTTTTGTCTCTTCTGATTTCTATTTCTTACTGCCAAATTCTCACCCTCGACCTAACCTGCTCAGGAATGGTTCCAATAACCCAGGAGTTTCAAAATGGAAATGACACTGTGCTTGTTTTGTGAACTTGAACAACTCAGCTGTTGGCACCACCTCTAACGTTCTGCCATTATGTAGATAGCTGGTTAGATCCACCTTTGGCACAAACAACAGTTAAAGAGGCTCTGGCCATGACCCAGAAAGGGTAAGAGACTGAAGCCAGGTGAGGAGCTGCAGATTAGAAGACTATCATCCTCTGGTGGTCAGTGTAAGCAGCTAATAGAATGGAGTTCCCACTAACTGAGATGAGGATGACTGAAGAACAGAATTTGGGAAATAGAGGATAAAAGGTAAACTTTTTTGACATATTAATTTTGAGACAGCTTTTAAGATAATCATGGAGATAATGAACAGGAAATTAAATATATAAGTTTGCAGTTCAAGAGGAAGGTTGAGATGAGGACTGGAGATACAAAAGAATATAATTTTAAGAGTCAATTAAAGTTGTCAGTAAACTCTTTTTTAACTATTTAAATATATCTTTGTTCATTATAATAAAATTATTTATGAGAAATGATGATTTGGGTTATACTAGTTATTGTCAAAACACTACAAAGAAAGCTTATTGTAAGTTAGGCAAGAAAACATTTCCATGAAAAAGTAAGAAATAACATGCCATTTTTAGTCAATCAAATTGTTGTCAATTAGTATTTTAAATATGATACCAAGTCATTGGTAGGATTTACACCATGTTCCTAATATATATGATCTTTTTATATATAGCAGAATAAGTAGTTCTAAGTTTTCTATTTCTATAAAACATCTCCATAAGAAATAGCACTATGAGATAATGACGCGTCACATGTGAAAGGATTGCTCTCTAAGAGCCTATGCACTAGTAGCACAGGAGCTAGCTAACTCTTCCTCCTACATTTGCCTGCTTAACAGTGCTCTCTCCAGGATTTCCACCTGCTTTCTTCAAGTGCCTTCTGCTTACCTTGAGGGCTAGCACGTTCTCCACGGTGCAGCTTTTATCCAGGGACCTCCCCACCACCTCCTGCAGAGCCTCCCAGTGCCGGGGCTTCAGACACGGGTTCCCCAGAGCTATGATGATGGGCAGCTCTTGTTTAAAATCTGTCACACATTGCTTCAGGTGTGGCACTATGTCGTTTTTAGGTAAACCTATTAACAACAAATATACAAGCTTACAACATGTTCCTTATATTTTTTAATCAATCAATTGAGAAAATACTAATTTTTCTTAAAATTTGCTCATAATTTAAGACTGGTCTGTCAATTATTAGCCCGCATCGTAACATAGCCTCGTGACCCTTATCGATGTCACCTTTCCATAAGAGTCAGCTAAGGATGGAAATAAAGAATAATAATAATCAGGTCTGACAACTGAAACACAAACCATCAAAGCCAAATTATCTTGGAAAATATGGTGCCTGGA